CATATGTATATATCTGAGGAGTTAGTCCGTCCGGTCCTGCCGCCCTTCCTCGTTTCAGGTTATCTACCGCTTTCTCAACTTCTACCATTGTTGGGGGGCCTATCTCAATGTCCCATTCAGGACCCAAGAGAATAGCGAGCAACGCAATGGTGGCTGGAGGCCAGTTAAACTGCTCCTCGAAGTGTTCTGCCCATCGTTCCAGTCGTCTCCTCTGCGAGTGAATCGCAGACCCGTCCTTCTCCGCTATAGTCTCACTAACCGTAGTTGACTCCCCCCAGTTTCCTTAATAAGTCTAAATAACTGTCTACTGTTACCAATCACCGCTGCTTTTTCCATCTCTTTAGCCTTCACAGCCCAATAATGTTCTCGGTTGTTGCGTAGACTTTTTCTCAACCTTCTTTTAAGTTGTGCTCGCTCTTCATTGTACTCAGAACCTGCAGGCATGGATGCGTCCACGTGCATCCAATAGTTCAGAAGAAGCTGTTGATATCCACTCTGAGTCAGCTACGGTCTTCAGTGCTGCTTTTACAGTAGACTGCAGATGGGTACCAAGCTTTTTCTGGACGAGTGATAATCTTCTCTTCCGATAAATGCCTGGCCAACTCCTCACTGAACACGGCTTTGGTATTTTCGTTGTCTAGCAGCACTCCTAAGTACCTTTCTGCCTCACTTAGTCTACCCACCTACCTGTGCATTGAAGTCACCTGCAACAATCACCACGTCCGAACGTTTGGCTTTCGAGAGGAGGCTAGACAGTTTACAGTAGAACTCGTCCTTCACTTCATCCGAACTACAGTCAGTGAGTGCGTAAGTAGAGATTACGAAGAGACAACGGCGAGTCACCCTATTCTTTTTGAATCTCACTGCGCCGTTCAGTTGGATAGCACAGAGGCGACTGTCAATTGGGATCCAGTCTAGTAGTGAGTTTTCTGCCCTAGTGCTTAGTGATGTGTCTACACCTGCAAGACTGCGAGAGCGAGCTATCGAATATCCAGAAACTTGAAGGGTGAATTTTGCTGATTCATCAGGTTGACCGGAAGAGGTTAGGTGGATAACCGCACTTAGGTCCTGTATGCGTGTCTCAAAAACACAGCACACATCCATGGCCCGAGTTGCTAGAGTTTTGGCCAACGAAGCCTGCTGACCAATTTGACGGAGGGTTCCGACATTGAAGGCCCCGATGTGTAATTTGGAGCATGGTTTAAAGAGACCAGGAATGATGTTCTGTGGACTCGGATCGTTGTCGAAGGCTGCAGAGCTAGGAGAAATTGAAAATGATGTAGTATTGGTAATTGAGAGATGTGAAGGAAGATCAGAAGGTAATGATAGGAGAGGTGGATAACAGTCTGAGGAAACTTGAGTGCTGATTGAGTTGTGAGGGCGGTTGACACTTCCCGGCTGCCCACACCATGGGAGGCTATTCCTTTTTAAGGTACCTGAAAAAGATTTGTGTGATCGCAGAGACCATCGGATATCTGCTTGAGGCCTGACACACGCAGCTTTTTGAGTATGATTATTTTGAACTTTTGTATTTTTTGGGCCGGATGGTGGAAAAGAAACGACAAATGAACCAACACCGCTGGCCCAGCAGACCGTGGGGTACAGTGGAGTGTGTTATTTTGGTGACCAACCTTTTCTAACGCACCCTTCCACTGAGAAGGCAGCATCAGCATCGCACTGTTGGTCATCCAAAGGAAACACCTTACTGCTGTCACACCCCATTCAGCTAGCAGAAGTACGACTTCGCCCTCAGACCCCTACCATAGTGTAGTAATTTACACCACAAGGGTAACGGCTTCTAGTCTAATCACTATCCAAAAGACCTTTCTGGTATGGTAGGACCTCGAGGGAACAAGCGTTCCATCAGCATAGCTCGTTAAATCATTTTGATATGCAAGCCCGACCACGGCGTTAAGTTAGCAGCTATCAATTAGGACTGAGGAAATACAGTATCACTTCTTATGCTTGAAATTAGTGTTGGTCAGAAACAGGTGGTTGTTAGGACAAAATTCTAAGAGACGAGCACTGTCCTCGGTTCCCTGGTGTGGAATACCACAGATACCTCCAGAAAATCTATTCAACTGGCTTTACCTTACTACTTGATCTTTGGAGTCCCCAGATAATTTGACTATATCTCAATATTCTGCCACGTGTAACAAAATTGACAGCTTTCGATAGAATTCATCATTTGCATCGCCTGAACTCCAGTTGAAGGGCACACAGATGCACATTACAGATACGCATCAGAGTTTATCACAATGCTTCCCACGTGTTATAAAATCCATTCAGTCAGACAGTAGACAAACAGCTGTTTACTAGTTTCCAGTGCAGACGTGCCACTTTCTATTCCACCGACACCACCAAGTCAATCGGAGCTAAACACTGGATCTCCGGACTCTCAGCGTTAATTTTGAAGACTCACCACACTGGCCAGTCGCACGGTTAGGTCAAGTGAATGACCACACTCACATCCTGTATACGTCTCATAAACACAGCATACAACCATGGATCGAGGTTGCAGAGTTTTGACAACAGACGCTTGTTGTCCGACTTGGTGTACGATTCGAATGCTGAAAGACTCAATTGGAAATCGATAGAGGAGTTTTGAAACACTTGAATGGTCTTACGGTGACTTGGATAGCTAACAATGGTCACAGAGTGAGATATTAAGGAAGTTGTAAGAGGCCTAATATTCGTATCAAGAAGTCAAAGTAGGGAATATAGGCTATTTTTAGACTGAGCTTTTTATGCTACTGGAAGAGTACCGACGGTTAGTACTTCTTAGTTGCCTATACACCATGGAATGTGTCTCTAGAAGTTACCTGAAATCGAAAAAGGATTAGTTTTGCGTGGCCACAGAGCGAATCACACAAAGAGCACACATTTATGACCAGAGATACATGAGTTTCGTCATGTTGTTCCGTGAAGTAGAATCGTTATCAAGGACTGTACAACTGGAATAAATTAAACGGGATGCAGAAATACTGACCACTAGAAATGAAGAATGGTTATAAAGTAGAGATGTGGTGTCTGATCATAGGTGTCTTCGTAGCATGACTCGCGTTTGGTGGGATCACTGTGTGAGCAATGTTGAGGTCAGACAAACGGTGCTGAACAAGACAGGTAAATCAATTGATGGGGTTGCGGACTTTCATCAACTAAGATAGCTTACATATGTACTGTGCATGCTTAGCCACCGCCTAACTTGATGTGACATGCTGATAGAAGTTGAATTAGGTTGGAATAGGGTTCAGGTTGCCGAGACCAAGACCTAGCACCAGTCGATGAAGTCTCTTACCATTGGTCTGAGACGTGTGCAGAGCTGTGGAACTACTTGGTTGGGGTCACCGAGACGACAGGAATCAGTGGTTGAGGAATCCTGGTGACATGGCTGAAAATCGTCCACAATGGCAATGTATTCACTCCTTGACGTCTTCTAAAGCTTGAATATTCGCACAAACCTTTATCTTCAAGTTTTTGATTCCTTCACACAACTTTATCGACTTTGATATCACTCTTTTTCTATCCACTTATTCTCTGTCTAGTACTGTGAAGTGTGTCAGCTTGAGCCAATGTACCTGTGTGTGAGGTTCTACGTTGATTTTGTCAGTCAGTCAGAGATGTGGAAGGCTGGTAATGAATCGAAGTAACTTGAGTAGTAACAGATTTGTGATGGCGATGATACTTTCCAGTTGTTTACACCGTTGAAGGTTATTTCTCCTCGAGAAACCTGGGAAAGACGTTGGGTTAGTAATAGTGGTACTTGACTGCAGATCCAAAGTGACATCTACTTGAGGTTGTTCACACATAACCTATTTAGATATTTGACATTTTAGTTTGCTTTTGCGAATCCAGTATACTGTGTTAGAGGAGAGTGTGCCATTTTCAGGGTCAACTTTTCTGACCTCCGTTTTTCACAAGGGACGCAGCATTAGCATAGGCTTCTGATCACCTTACTTCTGTCACCCCGTCTAGCAAGGAGTATGGCCTCATCAGTATCTAACTGACCTTTCTATTATTGCAGGATCTCAAAGAAATAGGCGTTGTGGTGGGTGTAGCTTGTTCGGTCATTGTAATATGAAAAATCTACCACCATGTCAAGGTAGTATCGGTTGAAAACAGTGTGAGTAGTCTTTTAATAACTAGTGAACAAAAGACAGGAATAATATGTCCAATATGGTTTTTATTTACAAAATAAAGGATTCCCATAGCTTTACTTACAAGTAAGGAGAGATAAACATTTAATTCATTTCTTTTCCATGCAAGTTTTTTCTGGTGTACATAGCTGAAATAATTAGCTAAAATTTTGTCAAATAAAAACGTTATATACGTGTATCACGTAATAGACAGTGAAAGGTGGAGAAATGAATTTAGGACATGGCACAGAAGTTGAATTAGATCAAACGGTTACCCTTTACAGAAGTATGCAAAGAACATGTCAACAAACGTGTATGACAAAAGAGAGGATATCAAAGTATAAAGTTCCTAATAATAGTTAGGATTTTGAAAGTGACAAAGAGCGAATACATGTCTTACTACGACTGATTTTGAGCTATATCAGCAGGGAGTTTCCAGCCAGTGACCCACATCGCCGCAAGAATTTCAGTTAGGCCCCTCTACATTCAACAACTTCATGAACTCGTGTCTTGGTCTATTCACCCTTGGGTTTTTTCTAACTTACTTCGGCTAACATCGCGCTTCGAGGTGAGAAGAGGGTTACGTATGGGTAACAAATGTCTGAATCTCTTCACTTGGTGTAGGTTTCCAACATCAACTGAGCTTCCTTGCTCGCCTGAAAGTCTACATCTAACCTTGTAATTACGCATAAGACAATTAGGCTATGTCTCAGTCGTAAAAAAGGAGAAAGCGAATTGCTGTGACGTGCACTAATGCTTTGATATTTAATAATATAATATATAGCACGATATAATCCACCTGTCTAAGAAACAATTAAAGTGAAAATGCAAAGAGCGAAACATAACAATGGTAAAATGATTTACCTTTCAACTGAATTCAGATAACTATGTCCATCGTGTCCACCAACAGCGTATAGAAGATCATAAACAACTCCAACACCGACACCACAACGTCTTTTATGCATTGGTGCAACAAGATGCCATTTATGAGTACGTGAATCATAGTGTTCAGCTGAAGCGATTGCATCCCCTGAACACCATCCACCAATAGCAAACAGAAGTTCACCACCTTGTAAAATTTTCCTAGGTTTAGTACGTGGACCCTGCATCAATGGACGTTCTTGGGGTAATAATAGATAATCTTTTGCTTCATCAACTAAATCACGACATCGTTCATCTGAACGAACTAATAAATCTGTACCAACAGTACCAACTAGAAATTTAGGACTGAGAAGAGGTAATCGTACATGTTCCAATAGGTAAGATAAGTATCCCCGACGATCAGATAGATTGTGATGCATCCAACGCATAACAGCATAATAAACTTGTTCTTCTGAATTAACATTCAAGTCATCTGAACTTAAAATATCCACAAGATGACTAACTGGCAGTAATAGGAATTCTTCAGATTCTACTACTTCCTATCAATAAAAATAATAAGGAAGTAATTCAGCAGATCTGCAAGTTAAACAAACAATATCTTCAGAAGTATTGGTTGAATACTTAGAGGAATAGCATACCACTTCTCTATAACTAAAGTAATAACTTCACATAACAATAGATAAGCAAGTTATTCACTGTAAAAATTGGCAGTAAAGTGGAATGATTTAATCTATGTTCACTTGAATACAAACACATATATAACACTCAGGTAATAACCGTAGTATAGAACTGACTGTTTTAAAACACTGGTTATCTTTGCAGATGATAACGAAGAAAGGCAGATTCTGATAATCTCTCAGGTTAGATAGATGGAACGTTGAAGACAATAGTGAAGAATAGCCTAAATGCCCAACGGCCATGCTTTAGTTGCACACCATTCAATTTCTTTCTGAATAGGATGCACATATCGGTCGAACGACACTCACTAAAGAGAAAGCTATTTCAATGCACGACAGTGGCAAAGCGGTAGGACTTAATGGTTCACCCTTTTGAAGTCATTAGACATAATGGTAGAGAATACCTGGAAATCAGAAATGGTTTCATTGAAATCCAAAGGAGAGAAGAGAAATCTTCTGTTAGTCACAGAGAATGAGCATAACTATTTAAAATGCTACGACCAATACTCAGTTTATGTTTAACTGAAGCTCGGAAAGAGACTAGAGGAAATCTTGACAGGTTTCAGGCCTGAACGAGACTGATATCGAACAGAACTTCAACCTTCGATTCTCGAACACTTACTAGCGTTTGACACTAGTATTTCTTGGCTTGAAGATGACGAAGTTCTGTGCCGATCCATTTAGTTAATTTGGCATATTAATGGATGTAAGAATAAAAGGGTATCCATAGAACTGAAAGAAGCGCCTACTGTACATACTTGAAACTAACCTGCTCTACAACGTTGAGTGTACAGTTAAGACTAGAAAGGGTTATATCAAACCAAAACATCATCTGCGATCGGTAGAGTACCACAGAAATGTGAGCTGATTGGGATGTCAATTGAAAGTGTTATTAATCAATCTGTTTAAGACATTAGTATTCATTTCGCATTCTACACTAAAAACTGTACAACATATACCTAATTCTCACTCAGAATGTGCTGCCGTCAAACATAGAAACCAGGAAGCTGATTGTATTGCGCTACTTAAATAATAATCATCTAATACTCAACAATGATATTGGGTGATGGTTGCGCTATGTCGTGAACTGACGGGAGTTGGGAGTATGAACAGTTGGATTCCGACCCAGTGGCTCAATGGTAACGTGCTTGTCACAGAACATGAAGGTTCTGGGTTTGATCCTTGCTGGGGTCATGGGTGCGTACTGCTGAGAAGTCTCATACTGGGACGAAGCAGCTATCCAGTGCTCCCAGGTTTCCAATGTTCCTCCAACTGATGTCCACTATGAATATCAACTTGAAAAACCACTAAATCTCCACAAACCCCCAAATTCAATCATCATCTAAATCTACTATTAATCAGAAAAGTAACCTGTGAAAACTCTTTAGTGGAGCTTAGTTACCCAATTTCAGTAGTTTAAAAATCCCAATTAACTCATACAACAAAGGAGGTTAAGCGAAGAGTCACTCTTTTTGGCAGTATCATTGTCGAGCAGCAGAATTGCACATAAATATGCTATTCCCATAGTAACAGAAAAAGAATGTTTCATGAAACATTCTTGAACGAAATTCAGCTTTTATTACAAGTCACGAGATCGGAAAGAAGAATTACGTAGTGTTTGGAATTGTAATGAGAAGAAAACCTACCAAGACCGAAGTGATGTTAAGTCGCAAGGTCAAATGATGTAATGTGGTTAAGGGGACTGGTGAATGTCATAATAGGGATGAAAGAATACGATGTGTTAGATGTGAAAGAAAAGATTTTGAAGGTAAAATGTTCTTATAGGTCACATCCACTGCAACTCAAGTGACTGGACAAATTGCTTTTGAAAGCGGAGATCAGGCTTCAAAATATTCAAAGCCATGGCTTCCGCTGCTTGCAGAAGTTTCAGTAGCACGCCTTTCACAAGACTTGCACGAACTCTATAGATAACACTGAAGTTGTTTCCTGCATTTACCGGGTGGTCAAGATCGTTCATATATTCTTAAATAGAGCTGCGCCTTCCTAACGCATTTCCGAACAAATACCAGCCTGATTCCACAAAAGAGAAAGGTGAGCACCTCACAAATCTACTTTTGAACATTTGATCGATAATGACCACCCAGTAAATGCAGAAAAAAACTTTAGTGTTATCTTTAGAGTTCATCCAAGCTTCCTGAATGCTTGTTGACAAAATCTCAGTGTGGATAGAGAAGGCCTGTCGGCACTTCCCATCCAGCGTCAACTCTTGAGAGATATCCGACTACCTACCAAAGGATGAGTATACTGTGCTGCAGATTGTTGTGCCCTGATATACGGCTGAGCACAGCAGTTGGAAGCAGGAGACGTGATGAGATTGCACAGATATCTTCGTAACAGTAGGTGAGTTTGGTGGAATCACCATGTAAGCAATGTTGAGGTCAGGCGAAGGGTGATAGGCAAGATAGGAGAGTCGATTGATGATGCTGTGAACCATCACTGACTGAGAAAACCTGGACATGAGTTGCTCATGCCTAGTCATCACCTACCTCGATGTGTCGCGTTACGTAAAGTTGGATTAGGTTGGAAGAGGATTCAGGGTGGCAGGACTAACATCTGAAAACCAGTTAATGAAGTCTCTGACTGTTGGTCTGAACCTGAATAGGATCTGCGAGATGACAGAAATAAGTGGTTGAGGACTCATTGGTGAAATGGTTGAAAATCAGTCACAATAGCGCAGATGAACTCACTTTCGAACGCCTTCTAAAAACTGAATATTTACATCAACTTTTAGCTTCGCATTGTTTGTTCTCTCACACAAATTTGTTTACTTTGATGTCACTCTTTTTCTATCTACCTGTTCTTTGTATACTTATATACTGCTGTGAAGTGTGGCGAATTGCACTGATGAGTTCTTGTACGAGGTCCGACGTTGATTTCATCTATCTGTCCATTACACTTCCCATCCTCAAATTAGAAGTAGATGCAGACCAATTCTCAAGCATCATTCAACATTTGATGGGTGTGAAACGCATGGCAACCAAGTACACTCATACACTCAGATACGTACTCAACGTCTTCACAAAACTGCATTTTATCAACTTTTACATTTAACAATAATTTCATCTGCGTACTCTAAGTAAGAGTAAGTTAATCCCGATGGAGTCAGTGATCCCTAGGGTCATATCTATCATTACATCCATACGGGAGATAAATAGAAATGGTGATCAAGCACGTTACCATCAAACAACACTGATAATAGTCGCTTCAGATGAAAACATGCTGTAAATCCTCACATGGCTGCTAAGCTCCAACGAAACGCTTCGATTAGCGCTACATACTTGCTCGGTACTCGTTTCACAATGAGACACTACTACAACAATTCTCGGCTAAAAGAGTAGAATACCGATTTCATGTCAAGAAATATGGCAAGTATAGCGCGAAGGTAAGAGTACCTGTGTTCCATAACCTGATCAAGGGTGAGGATCCGAACAATTCACTCTCGGTTAGGTCTGAAGCCCATCTGCTTCTCCTGCAGTTTGCTGCTCTCGAAATCCAGATAGGCATCATGTAACTATGGATCCAAGGACCTCAGACAATGTTAGTCAAACTAATATTCTTTTGATTGTCATGAGAAAACCAGATGAACCGTGCTTCAGTGTTCCACCTAACCTACCTGTACTCAGACATCATCATGAAACCATTCTCTTCGGTGATGGTTTACCTAACTATCGTCTTTCTCATAACGGCGAACTGACTAAGCTCAAATAATTTCCCAGTATTACCTAGTCCTGATCCCACATCCACCCTCCTTCGCCTTCACCACCCACCACCACCGCTGGGAAACACTGCGAACACTCCCAGGCAGTTTACCTTTCAGCTGCTTTCACTCTGCATTGTATTTAGAACAAGTAGGGATGAGTCTTCTCACACTAATCACTTCGAAAAACCTTGTGGAAATACACTGGTTTATGTGAACCTTCAGTTGTAGGTTAACAACTGCCAACACTTTCGTTTCTACAGACGAAGGAGTATTACAACAGGATTCATCATGAAGAAAACTGATGCCATATTCAAGTAAATGATTGCCTATCTACTCGTCAGATAAACACTTCATGTTTTCATCTCCCAATAGAGTCCATAAAGGCTTACGCTGCAGAATATTTCTCGCAGCCATTCAGGGGCAAATTCACACGTGTGCGTAATAACACCCTATCGGAGTCTGAATAGGTACTCAACAAAGAGCGCCAATCTCCCACCGATGGCTTACGGAAATATCACCTGTTTGATCCCATCGTTCGTTTGATGTCGATGGACTGAGGAAATACAGTATCACTTCTTATGCTTGAAATTAGTGTTGGTCAGAAACAGGTGGTTGTTAGGACAAAATTCTAAGAGACGAGCACTGTCCTCGGTTCCCTGGTGTGGAATACCACAGATACCTCCAGAAAATCTATTCAACTGGCTTTACCTTACTACTTGATCTTTGGAGTCCCCAGATAATTTGACTATATCTCAATATTCTGCCACGTGTAACAAAATTGACAGCTTTCGATAGAATTCATCATTTGCATCGCCTGAACTCCAGTTGAAGGGCACACAGATGCACATTACAGATACGCATCAGAGTTTATCACAATGCTTCCCACGTGTTATAAAATCCATTCAGTCAGACAGTAGACAAACAGCTGTTTACTAGTTTCCAGTGCAGACGTGCCACTTTCTATTCCACCGACACCACCAAGTCAATCGGAGCTAAACACTGGATCTCCGGACTCTCAGCGTTAATTTTGAAGACTCACCACACTGGCCAGTCGCACGGTTAGGTCAAGTGAATGACCACACTCACATCCTGTATACGTCTCATAAACACAGCATACAACCATGGATCGAGGTTGCAGAGT